AATAAACTTATTCAGGTCCTCCAGGCTGGGTGATGCTGGACTGGTTGGACGATGCTGCCCTCCGCGGCGGATAGGTCGGCCGCCAGGGGTCTACACCAGGTCCGGAGGCAGAGGGAGTCCCGGAAGCAGGGCGTGGCGGCTGGCGGCCTTGCAGTTGCGCCGCTCCAGCAGCGCGGTGGACATCTGAACGGCATGCAAAATTCGGAGGTGCAGCAGCACTTCACCATGCACCAGCAGCGCCAGCGGGCGCCAGTCATTGGTACCGACTCAGACAGCGACTCCGCGCCCACAGCGCAGTCGGCGCCGCAGGTGCAGACCAGAGCCGCGAGGCAGCAGCCATCGCCTTTCAGGGTAAACTCCATTCCTCTGCTGCGGGCGCAGGGCACCCCAGCGGCTGTAAGGGCTCCAGGATCACTTGGCAGAGCTGCGGGGACCGCGGGTCCCTGGGAGACGAGCCGTTGTTCGACCAGCTCAGAAGTGACCTTGAACTTGCCCGACAACAGAGAGGAAAGCAAAAAAAAGCGAGATGGACGTAATCCAGGCTGTGAACGATGAGCTGATGCAGAGCTTGGGACTGCAAAGCTCGCCGTCTAACGTCAAGTGTGTGCAGTCGCGGCGCGATGTTCAATACTTCCCATCCTCACTCAGTACTTTTTCACCGACCACCAGCCGTGTGGCCAGAATTCCACTGACAAGCGGCATGGATTTCATCGATCCTCCGAGAGATCGCCTTCCGGGTCAGAAACAACGACGCCACCACCGACCTCTACTCCGGCACCCTGGAGTCCAGCAGCTGCTTCATCAAGCGGGTTCAGCTCTACTCGAATGGCCAGATGTGAGCGAGCACGGCCGATTCTTCTCTACCCTCTCCTGAAGCCCTAAGAGTGTTACACCAGCGGGCCTGGAGGGGTTCTGGCAGAACGCGGGCGGAAACGCGCAGGCGATCCCGGCCGGAAGGTAGAGACGCGCTGATGGCGCCACCCTTATCGGACTCTTACTAAAGTGGCCAGATGTTGCCGCCGCAGCTGAATCTTGTGTTGGAATAGGAGTTCGCGGAGGCGGGAAACGCCCTGCGCACTGCTGGCAGTACCAGCGATTTCAGCATCGAAAACGTGCGGGTGCTGGCCAGCTAGGTCACGCTCGACTCTGTCCTGCAGGAGCGCATGTTCATCCATCTCGTTTCGTCTCAAATCCACAAACGCCGCGGCCGTGGCCTCCCTGGTGGCGCAACTTCCAATGCAGCTTCACCCGCTGTGGCCAGAATGCCGGCGCCGGCCTCGACGCCCGAGGCTGCCTGGGCAGCACTAGCGAAGCCCTCCCGTCTTGGCCATCTGGCTCTGCGTAAAATGCCTCTCTATGTCCTGGATGGCGCTTTCGGCGGGATGACAACCCCTGTGTCGAGAATCTTGCAGATAATGTGCGTGCCCAGCGGGCGCAAAATGCGCCCGCTGCCCAGCTTGCGCCTCAGATACACCTTGTTATAGCTGTTCATGCTAACCCAAGGGAAGATCTGCAGGCCTCCGCCACGTAGCTGCCGCCCAGCAGGTGGTTGATGCTTTGGAGCTGCAAGGCGTAGAGCGCTCTGCGGGTAGCCGAGGCCGTTGGAGAAGAGATTCAGGGCTCGGCGTCTGACGGAATGCGCGATTTCCGTCACTTGCAACCTCTATTGAATTCTGGGCCTCTACATAGACGGCCGAAGCGTAATTGCTTGAGATCCACACCGCCAGATGGGTGCCGGTGTAGGCGCCCACACTGCGGTTTAAGGTGTCTAGGGCCTGGTCGATCCAGTAGAGGTTCCGGTCCCTGTTCTTCTAAAGCGAAAAGCCGCTGCAGCACCTGCTCTGTTGCTGCACTCCGACTCGATGATAGGCCCGCCCCCCAATTTGCTCGCCGCCACCGACAGGAAGCCTCCCATTGTTTACCGACTGTGCGTCCTCCCCGTCCAGGACAAATCGCTCCTCCCACCGCTTGAAGAACATGTTCGCCCTGTTCTTAAGGTAGTGGATGAACCAGAAGATATAAGGCTCCCTTGGTGGCCTCATGGTACATCGCCAGGAGCTTCTGCTTGGGCAGCAGTGCGGTCAATTCCTCCAGCACCGTCTCTAGCTCCAATTGGTTGCGCAGCCGCCAGATGCAGATGAATTGCATGTTGACACGGACGGCCGCGCTGATCAGGCGCAGCTTCTGCGACGAGACCCAGGTGCTGATCTGCATGTGGCGCCCGCGGATGAACAGCGTGTCCAGAGCGCCGTCTCCGGTCCGACGGTGGAGCTCCGGCTGGTCTGCGAAGTTATTTATGACCACCAGCACGAGAGTCCGGGATCTTTGAGATGCAGAGCAGTAGGGTACGGGTCGAGGACAATGGGGACAGCGCAGACCCTCGAGCGCCCTGCACCGGGATCTTACTCGGACCCAGCAAGAGCGGGAAGACTGTCGCGCTGATCAGCGCGATCCTGGAGCAGTATCGCACGGCGGACGGTTCCAGCGTGTTTGAGCGCATCTACATCTTTTCGCCGAGCATAGAGATCGACGACGGCTGGCGGCCCGTCAAGGAGAACACCGAACGGGAGCTCGTTTTTGAGCTCATCGCTGAGGTCTTGTTTCGTGGCCGCTTGGGGGCAAAGAGGCCGGCGTCGCTTGAAATCAAATCTCTGCAGTTTTCTAGAGCCTATGTTGCCTTGCTGTTGATCCACACCTAAAGCTTGCGTTTCTAAAGCCTCTTTGACAAGCTTGCAATGGTAGTCATCGTGTACAAACTCCGCCTGAGACATGTTGGTCAACACTCGAACTGGCGTGTGGCACTTGGTTGAAGATGAGAAGGTTGTGTGCGGCGTCGCGGCAGATGGTTTGGATGCCGTGGAGACAGCCCCTGAAAACACCCGCCAATGTGAGAAGCGCAAGAAGCGCTCTGAGCATGCTCCTAGGGTTCAGGACTCAGACAGTGCGCAGGAAACGTCGCCCTCTTTCCAGACCACAAGCAGCTCTGACGCCGACATTCCAGAAGTGCCGGACATTCCCATAGACGACGCCCTCAGCGTCATGCACATGGAGACGTCAGAAGTGCCGGACATTCCCATGTCATCGGAGCCCCAGTACGTCAAGCGCACAGAGCCTGTCAACTACAAGGCGGTGGTGAATGCTCTCAGTCGCGATGCAGCACGACAGACTCCTTTGTTTGATCAGCTCGTGAGCCTGGCGCAGCGAACATGTGATGTGCAGCCGACCTCTGGCACAGGCAAGCTCAACTTTGACTTGTGGGAAGGTCCTGCTCCGCCCGGCTACAGGGGACATCTTCACAGCGGCAAGCTGCAGAGGAGGGATGAGCCTGCTGCAAAGAGAGCCCGCAAAGAGAGCGTCTTGTTTGATGGCATGGGAACGGCCTTCATGCACGAAGTCGTGCGCTTGATTGCCCGCAGCGGGTTGCCTCGCAGCACAATCGGCATTAAGAACGGCCACTTCTCCTTGCTGAAGATGGTTGTTGGCAAGGTGTTGGAGATGACTGTGCCGCCGTCGTTGAGCAAATTAGCCCAAGATTTCAACGCTTGTGTGCGAATGGTCGCGTCCGACCTATGGAACTCCCCGCGATCCGCTCTGCCTTTCAGATCATTGCTGGCTTCCTGGTAGCCAATCGGCTCCGCTGCAAAGATGCCGTCGAGCACGAATATGTTCATCTTGGAATGCAGGGCATCGTTTTCGAATCGTGGCATAAAGTTGGAAGATAGCCACACCGAGGCTTGACTCCCCCAGTTCGCCATTGCTTGGTGAGATCTTCTGGACGCAGCCGGCATGCCCTGGTGCTTGCAGAGTTGTTTCAACATGCTGCTACGGAGACGGCGGTGCTTGGGAACCTCCGAAAACACAACCATGCGCTTGTTGCAACAAGCATGCTCCACCTCTCCGATGCCCTTGGCGTTGCCGATGCAGTGGTGGCCTGAAATGGTAAGGCATATTCATCAGGCTGGCCTCCAAGCATCTTGAACAGCAGCGCCAGCAGAACATCCTGGCTCCAGTCGCGCAAGATGCCCTTCACGTGCACCAGAAGTTCGCAGCCAGCCTCGCACAAGTCTTCCAGGGTCTTGATGATCTCGCAGCCCAAGTCACTGTTTTCAAGGCCCAACTTGGCAGTTTTCCGATCCACGATCCATCTGCAAATCATGGCAAAAACGTCTGGCAGGTGATCTGGGGCCACCCATGGCGCGAAGTCGCACGCAGTCTTTGCCATTAGCCTGTGTTGTGGCAAGGCTCGGTGGCTGCGGTTGCCCTTGAAATCCCAGACCATGCCATTGCGGAAGAGCATCTTGTCTCTCGCGTGCTCGCGATCAAGTTTGCTCATGCGTGGGCCTTCCGAAAGACGGCTCAGGACTCCGTTCACCAAGGACTTGGCAAACCGCGGCTCTTCAAGCGGGTGCAAAAGCGGTAGACCCGGCAGCGCCAGCGACTTAAGCACATCCAGGATCTTGGACGGGAGCGCCTTGCGCGGGATGACCTTCCATGCGCCGGTGGTGGAGTTGAAGACCTCGCACGAATCTGCGCTGCCATCCAAATCCACATAGCACCGCCCAGCAAGAACTGCCACCACATACCTGCTGAATGCGCCATTGTTCTGAGGCGCTTTTCCGGCCGTTGCGAAGTCCCTGCACTCAGCCTTCAGCTTCACAAAGTCCCTCCATTTCAGAGGAGACTCTTGCTGCCAATCGAGGTGTGGCCACACATTTGCCGCCAAAACCCACGGGTCCGTTGCTGGCACCATCTCGAAAGTGATGTCGCCGGCAAGCAAGCCGTTGATCCTGTCCACATGTGCCTGCGCATCGCGCTGCGGGCAAGCTAAATCCAGTCTTGGCCAAAGGTGGTCGCCCTGACATCTTTGAGAAGCTGGTAACCTTGTCCATCAAATCGGCCTGATTGGGACGCTACTCTCTGCTTACAGCACATGTTCCAGTCATCTAAATGGCAATGCAAGTGGCCCGTGGCCAAGCAACCAACGTCGTCGAGTTTCAAGGAGTTAGCCGACAGCTTTTCTTGAGCGCTTGAGCGAGGAGGTCGCGCCACTCATGGCGCGTTTGGGATTGAAGAGCGAGAGCCGGGGAGCCTGTGCAACAGAGGTCGCAAAGGGCAAGATCGTGATGATGAAGCTGAGTGATGGCCACGCCTAGCCCTGCAGGTTCGCAGCAAGGCCGCTCTAGCATTGGCCGCGAAGAAGAAGATTTTCTCTTCCTCCTCAGATGACGAGGACAACACGTGAAGACAATGCGCTGCCCATGAAATGCAAGCTCTTCACAAGCCTGTAGTGGCTTGTTTTTTAGTTGTTTTCTGGCGAGGGCTATGCTGAAACTTGCCAGTTGTAAACGTACATTTACTGAACATTGTTTTGTAGCAGCGCTTGTTGTCAGCAGTTCTCAGCTTGCCTGAGCGAGCAGGAGGTGCCTAGCACAGCCACGTAAGCTCCAACTCAGGCTTGGATGCGCAGACGGCTGCGCTATTCTTCGTGGATGTGGCGAAGGGAGCGTGCCCTACGAGTTGGCTCGAGAAGAAGCGCTCCAAGATTCCGTCCGCCTGCCAGACCTTGAAATTCGTGGATGCTGGTCAAGGAACACCTTGAAGCGCGCCATTCGCTCTGATTGAGTTCCTGCTGCATTTTGACCAAGACGTCCCTTATTTGAGGAGGCCTGGGCAGCACCAGGCACCCGGGGTTGATGGCTGGCTGGAGGGTACGGGCCAATCCCAAGATCCACCACTGCATTTGCCTAGTTGGATGGTGGAGAGGGCATCGTTGCAGCAACAACGTGCGGATCTGTAAGCTGCATGTTTTTGTGTCCTGCTTGTCTCAGTGAGCCGCAGATGCCTAGCACAGCCAGTAAACTCCAACTCTGTTGGATTGTAGGGGGGGGCATCGTTGTACAAAGAATGCGCAGCGATGCGTAAGCTGCATGCTCCGGGGACTTTGGGGTAGTTTTTTACAGTCTGGCACCCTTGTCCTGCACCAGTACAGCTCGAGTGCTCACATGGTGAAGAAGATCCCAACAAAATGCACGTCACCAGCGCTGCATTTGAGTGGAGCCTAAACCCTCGGCCAAACGCTGTCTTTTGTCGTTTTCGGGTTTGCATGAGCGTTGCTATGCCGCTTACAGACTTGGCAGTTTCAACGTGTCACGCCGCATGTAACATCACGGACCTCATGGAACTTAGTGATTTCCATATGATTTGCTAGCATCATGGAATTCATGGATGTTGTTATCCGATTAGCTACGATCCTGAAACTTATTGATTTTACTATCTGATTTGCCACGATCATGGG